GACTTAGTCCCTGTACAGCAGAGCTCAGACTGGGAGAAGCAGCACAAGGAGCCAATTAGGTGCGTTCCAGTTCTCATGTGCTCTAAATAGACAAATGCTGATAGGAGGTGAGAGCAGAGTGACAGAGATATGAGCTCATCAGTCTGCTGCTTCTCCTTTCACTGTCCAATCACAGGCTGAGAGGGAGGGACAAGTCAGGTCTCCTGCCTCACCGGGCACAATGCATAGGGCAAAAAGGGGCTGCTGGCTGATGAGATACTCAGGGAGGATGAGAATGACAACCCTGGGGCTTGCAGCTGCAACACCAATCAAAAACGGCATTTCCTGCATATTGTCCCGACTCACCTGTCCTCACTAAAGGAAGGGTCAGGGGCCCTCACAGGTGAAGAAAAGGACAGGTATGGGGGGGGGGATAGGGCCCATGGAGGAAGAAGCCTCCAATCCGGAATGTCCCTGCAATAGGAGCTGTCAGCGTGCCGAGTCCAGGGAGGGAGCTGTGATTGGTTCACATTGTATAACTTTCAGACCCGCCCCCTGCTCTCACTAGTTACAATGTATCAGCAGTAACTAGTGACAGTGACCCGCCCACTCCGCTCTCCTCGGCAATTGTAACCAATGCAGACCCCGCCCCCTCCGCTGTAACTATTTAAAATGTATCGCTGTCAGCCCCGCCCCTCCTCTGTTACTAGTTACATTGTATCCATGTCAGACCACGCCCCTCCGCTCTCTAGTTTGCAGGTCGGAGCGCATCCCTGTCACTGTCCAAGTTCCATTTGTGCTAGGCTCCGCCTCAACTCTTTCGCCCCTCCCCGCTCCATCCCCGGCCAAACTAGTGACGTGTGGCTCCTCCCCCGTGTTGTGTGTCGGAGGGATGCAGCGGCCGGGAGGAGACTCTGGAACCCGATGGAAGCGGCATATCATCCGCCAACTTCGACACCGGGACCGGCAACAGCACAATGCTTTCCGGGAGCTCGTGCAGTCCTGTGAGTACTCCTCCCCCACCCCGGTACTCTCTGCCGCCGGAACCATCCTGTACTAGCACTGCTGATCCCATACCGGAGTACTGACCCCGTACCAGAACTATACCAGAGTACTGACCCCATACCAGAGTACTGACCCCATACCAGAACTATACCAGAGTACTGACCCCATACCAGAGTACTGACCCCATACCAGAACTATACCAGAGTACTGACCCCATACCAGAACTATACCAGAGTACTGACCCCATACCAGAGTACTGACCCCATACCAGAGTACTGACCCCATACCAGAGTACTGACCCCATACCAGAGTACTGACCCCATACCAGAGTACTGATCCCATACCAGATTACTGATCCCATACATGAGTACTGATCCCATACCAGAACTATACCAGAGTACTGATGCCCTACCAGAGTACTGATGCCCTACCAGAGTACTGATGCCCTACCAGAGTACTGATGCCCTACCAGAGTACTGATGCCCTACCAGAGTACTGATGCCCTACCCGAGTACTGATGCCCTACCAGAGTACTAATGCCCTACCAGAGTACTGATGCCCTACCAGAGTACTGATGCCCTACCAGAACTCTACCAGAGTACTGATCCCCTACCGGAGTACTGATCCCCTACCGGAGTACTGATCCCCTACCGGAGTACTGATCCCCTACCGGAGTACTGATCCCCTACCGGAGTACTGATCCCCTACCGGAGTACTGAATCCCTACCGGAGTACTGATCCCCTACCAGAACTGTACCAGAGTACTGATCTCATACCAGAGTACTGATCTCATACCAGAGTACTGATCTCATACCAGAGTACTGATCTCATACCAGAGTACTGATCTCATACAGGGCCCCTCATAATGGGCACAGCGGGGGTACAGACCCGGGAACTCAGCACAGGGATGGTGGGAGCTCCTCATACTGGGCACAGCGGGTGTACAGACCCGGGAACTCAGCACAGGGATGGTGGGGGCCCCTCATAATACTGGATGGGCGGTCCTTATCAGTGTAACCTTTTGACACTCTCTGTAGCAGTTTCTGTCCTTGTTGATCCCGCCAGGATCTCTGATATTAGTTATAAATATTATGAGCCAATCGTATCCTTTGTCTTTCATACAATCTGTAGAGCTTTCCTGGATTGGGGTTCTGGGAATTTCCCTTCCACATTTTCACATCTATTTTTTGGCTGCAACCAAACCTGAGGGCACTGTGAAAATCCTGCTGAATCTGGCTGTGTCAGGTATTCAGGCTGTTGGGTGTTTGCAGTGTTTCCGGGTATCACAGACAGGCTGCCGTGCAGGCTGCACCCGGCGCGGTTGAAGTGGGTGATTGTCTGCTCGGTGATTAACACGTCTCGCGGTCGGTAAGTCATCTGTCACCTGACTTCCCCTATTCGGCTTCACCCGCAGGATGACTGGCCCGGGGAGCTGGTCCTGTGCAGAGAGGTCGTGGTGAAGATTTGTTGCTGACAGCAGCTGTGGCGTTGTACCAGGATCCAGCGTTGTGTGCGTTAGGAGGACCTGCGCACAGATCATGCATACAAAGCTCTGCTAATATCTCCCAACTCTGACCAATCACATGACCCCATAACGGCGTCCTTCCCCCCGTACCGGCGTCCTTCCCCCCCTTACCGGCGTCCTGCCCCCATGCCGGCGTCCGGCCCCCATACCATACCTGCAAAGCTCGGCTCGTATCTCTTAATTCTGACCAATGACATGAAGGTGAACCCGGAGCTCTCGGAACCCTTATCCACAGAGAGAAGGGTGGTGCCGATGTGTGCGGGAGTGAGTGTGGAGAGGCAGCAGACCAGACCACCGGGGGGTGCACCAGAGACCAAATGATGGCACAGGAGACGTGGGGGCACCCTTAGAGACGCAAGCGGCACACAGTGGCACTCTTGAAACATGGGGCACTCTTGGAGATGTGGGGTGCCCAGGAGGTGCACTTGGAGAGACAGAGCACACAGGGGTACTTGCATGGCAGGTGAGGAGACACAGGTGACACATTAGGGCACTATTGGAGACGTGGGGCACTATTGGAGACGTGGGGCACTATTGGAGACGTGGGGCACTATTGGAGACACGGGTCACTCTTGGAGACACGGGGCACTATTGGAGACGTGGGGCACTCTTGGAGACACGGGGCACTATTGGAGACACGGGGTACTCTTGGAGACACTGGGTACTCTTGGAGACACTGGGCACTCTTGGAGACACGGGGCACTCTTGGAGACACGGGGCACTCTTGGAGACACGGGGCACTCTTGGAGACAAGGGGCACTCTTGGAGACAAGGGGGACTCTTGGAGACACGGGGCACTCTTGGAGACACGGGGCACTCTTGGAGACACGGGGCACTCTTGGAGACACGGGGCACTCTTGGAGACACTGGGTACTCTTGGAGACACGGGGTACTCTTGGAGACACGGAGCACACAGGGGTACTGGCATGGCTGGTGAGGAGACACAGGTGACACAGTGCTGGGTCCCGGGGGAGGCGAGCGTTCCAGGATCCAAGTGAATGGAGACTCTGAGTAATCTCCGAGGACTTGACAATCGTTCTCTCGGCCCAGGAGCAGTGAATCATGGATGGAAGGAAAGGTAGCAGAGGGTCGACTTCTCATCCTGCTGCTGCTCCATTACTGCCCAATCACAGGCTTGGGGGGTGGGGCCAGAGGATCAGCAGAACAGTGGGTCAGGCGGTGGGACTGTTCTGGCAAATCCAGGACACGTGGTATATATTGGTTCAGGAGTGTCGGCGGGCAGATTCTCCTCTCCTGGGTGGAATGTCGCGCGGCCGTGTTGTGTTGATGGCAGTCACTGACCCTCCGCTGTGAAGGGATGCCAGTCATTGCAGAGTCGGCGTTGATAACTAGGTGTGGAAACCTCAGCGCGGTGTCACAGGCGGGTGGAAGGGCCGCGCCACAGACGGCTCCTCGCTGTGTCCATGAAACCGACTTTTAGGAATTGTTTGCTGGCTGTGAATTGCAGCCGCTTTGTTTGTCCTCCTTCCGCCGAACATCCAGATCATTCCTGAGAAGGTGGTGTGTGTGTGACCACCCGAGGTATGGCTCCGGGTGCAAACCCATGAGGGGGTCACCGACAGCCGGGGTCATCAATTCAACATGTTACATGGCACAGTCTCCGTATAATCTCCCTGACTCGCCAACCACTGTGCAGCATGAGGACCTGCCGGAACATTCCATTCAGTTTCATCCAGTAAAGAGATAAGCGGAGGTCGTCCTCAAACCTTTCACTATATCCGGAGATATTAGCAGCTGAAGTCATACGCAGATCTCAACCTTCTCTGTGAAAGTCA